AAAAATGAACGCTTAGATCAGGGGGTTGTGAACTCTGGTCACCAAACACCTTGTATATTTTTATGGGAGTAGTTCCCATATCTCTTTTGCTTTGAGGTTACACTCCCAGCTGAGTGCCTGACTTGTGGACTACCCACTCTGGCTCCATTATGTTTCCTCTCCTTCTAGCCATGTCACGCTCGGGCTTGCACTGACCTCGTTTCAAAAAGAGAGAGGGACTTTGTTCCTTTCCCACATGAATTTGTAGCCTACTAACTTACGTTCATTGGAACCATCCATCTCATTTTTTTCAGCTGAGAAGGGAATTCAAGTGGTCTCTTAGGTCCAGAGCAAGAGCCCTCACCTCTAGGCTGTCATGCAAACAATGGAAGGTCCTCCCTGCTGCCTTTTGACATGGAAGTGGCCGTGGTTGCTGCCATCTTAGATGGGAAGAAGACAGGAGCTGCTCAGTTCAGTGAGGTGCCTGCATCCCTGGACAAGTGAGGTAATAGAAGTTTGGATACAAATGGTGCTCAGCTGCCCATAAACTCAGGACATAAACAGGGCTTTTTGTGATTGTTCTCTTGGGCTGAGGCAACACAATTCTCCCAGGCTTTGCTTCAGGCATACAGAGCTTTTTCTCGGATCTTTCCCACTGAGGTTGTCCTGCCTCCAGACAGTGACCGTGACAGTCCTCTCTGCAGCCACAAACACATCTGAGTAGTTCTGGTCTCGACCATAACAAGGCCTTTCTCTGCAACTTTCCTGTCATCCTCTACTGTATGCCAAAGCTCGAGGCTGGATGCCTGGTCTGGTGTAACCACCTGATGATAGTGGTGCAGGTAGCAGATCTTTCCACATTTCCCACCACCAGACTTAGAGGCAGATGTAAACATTCATTCCCCCCGGAACAATCTCTAGGAAGAAGGACACAGGGAGGCCTTTTGTCCCTGAAAGGACAAATCTGAAATAACTTAATGGTAATTGCAAAGGAATCCCTCTGCATGCAGTTCCTGGCATCAAAAGCTTCCCTAGAAACTATGCAAGTGGAAAGAACATTGTCATTGCATGGAAGTGACCATGAAAAGAACAAAAAAAAACCCTTTTTCTTTCAACTGTTGCTTCTTCAAAGATGCTGCTGTAGAAGTAAAACACTTTTAACAGAAATTTGGTAATTGCTAATATCCCTTGAAGGTCTTTTCCACTGGCTTCAAAGTTGAGAAGTAAATTAAAGACTTGTTCTTGTCATGACCTCCTTTGTCATGAACAGGCTGGATCTCCATCAAAAGTTGTTCCAGCATGGCTACACACTGAAGGCAAGAGCCTTCGTAATCAGCCAGGAAAGTGGGCAGTCCTGGCAGGTCACTGAAGCCAGTTTCTGGTCAGTGTTTGGCCCCTTGTCTCCCTGCTTCCCTGGGGAGGTGCAGGGCATGACACCAAACCTGCCACTGGAAGACATGTCCCCCTCTTTCTGTCCACCTTTGTCATTTCCCTGATGGTCGCACTCATCGTCAAAACATTCTTCATCAGAAGCTGGCCACATCCTCAAAACACCAAACTTCTCATTTGTAAAAAAAGGAAATGAAATGCCAGTGGAATTTACCTATTTTTTTTTTTCAAAAGAAAACAAGGGCTTACACAAAGCAGGAGGTAAATGGGACTTGGCTGACACATGGCCCCTCCACCCGTTCTGCTCCTGGTGCAATCAATGTGCAGTTGCAGGCTCTCCACACCACCAAACAAAATGTACTGGCAGCTTCTGCCAGCGAGGAGTTGCTTCACATGCTTAGAAACAGAAAGAAATATTTCCCTTTCCTAGCTACTGTAATAGCTTTTCCTGACTTAGGGAACTAAGAGAAAACGTTATGAGCAAATACTGACCACTTCCTCTTTGAATTCCCGTTGCTGTTTTGCCCAAGTGCTGCTTTCCTTTTCTCCTGACTGCTTCTGGTGGCGTACAACACACTCACTTTAACAAGAAGGTAAATATCAGACAAGAAGCCGCCCACCTCAACGTTCACATCTATACCATGAAACATGAAAACACCAAGGAAACATGAAAAGAGCAATTCCAAACATGAAGTACGAAGGAACAGCCCTCTGGCAGGTGAACGATGTCTTCCAATTGACACTCTCCCAGGGACAGCTGTGTTCAGTTTTGCATGAGCGGCGATGGTTCCAAACGAGCCGTGGCACTGAGGGACTGAGGCTGGCACCAGGACACCTCAGAAGCCCCCCTTCCCCTAGAGCTGTGCCCCCTGCACCTGCAGGAAGGCTGGTGTACGGACCCTTGGCAGGCCTTGAGAGAAACCATGTGGAAGTGGCTGAACTCACCGTCCCGTGAGCCAGAGGCTGTGCCGGGGACAGACACGGCAAGTCTGGCACATTCTGGGCATGTTGGGCTTGCACGAGTCCAGACTGACTGCCTCTGTGCAGTGGCCATTTGCCCACGATTTCCTCTCCTCTGGTGGGATCCCCCTGTGGTGCCTGTGGCCAACCCTGCAATGTAGGCTCTACTAATAAAATATTTCTTAACTTGATCAGTATCATGTTCATAGAATCATAGAATTGTCTAGGTTGGAAGGGACCTTTAAGGTCATCAAGTCCAACCATCAACCTGACGCTGCCAAAACCACCACTAAGCCATGTCCCTCAGCACCACATCTACCCGTCTTTTAAATACCTCCAGGGAGGTCCCCTCCAGGGACTCAACCACTTCCCTTGGCAGCCTGCCCCAATGCTCGACAACCCTTTCTGTGAAGAAATTTTTCCTAATACCCAATCTAAATCTCCCCTGACACCAACTTGAGGCCATTTCCTCTTGTCCTATCACTTGTTGCTTGGGAGAAGAGACTGACCACCACCTCACTGCAACCTCCTTTCAGGTAGTTGTAGGGAGTGATAAGGTCTCCCCTCAGCCTCCTTTTCTCTAGGTTAAACAATCCCAACTCCTTCAGCTTCTCCTCATAAGACTTTTCTCCAGAACCAGTGTTTACCTCCTGATGATCTGCCCCTGGAAGCTGTAGGTTGTGTTCTTGCAGCCATTCTCACAGCCACTGCCACGTGGCTTCCTGCAGCAGGGGGGGAAGTGGGAGATGCTGCTGGTTTGTTGGACCAGCTCTGCCAACAGCTCCTTCTCTCTCTCCTATCCACCCAGATGACCACACTGCATCTCCTGACCCGGTGTTGATAAGGACTCGAGGGGTGCTCCTGGAGGAAGCCAGAGAACATATCACTGAGGATGATGCTAAGTTAGCCACGTTCTTTTTATTTGTTCAGTGAGAGACATAAATTTATGGACAGAACAAGAAAAGACAAAACGTTACTGGTAGAAAAACCTCAAATGCAAAAAAAAAAATGCTGGAGGTGTGGGAGAAGAACCCCCTGTGAGCAATACACACAAGATACTGCACTCGGGCTGTCTGCAGATTGAGCCCTGCTTCCACGCTGTCACCAACCAGCTGGAGGAACGAAGCAGCAAGTGGCCAAAGCAAGGGACCAGACTGTGAAAGGATTTTGGGTGCCTGCACGTGCAGGTAGGCATCCTTTGGGACTTTTACAGGTTCCCAAGAAATAGGGACCAATTTGATGAAGCTGCTGAGCACCTGTAGGATTGCGGCCATGAGTGACCCTAAAGGCATAGACGGTACCACAGGAGCTGAGTTGTGAAAGATGAACAAAATGTGTTTGCTCTAATCCCAGAAATAGCAAGGACAGTGTCAGATCAGAAGGGCCAGAGGAATCCCAGGCAGCAAAGGGACCTGCGGGGCGGCACAGGGAAGTGCTGCTCCTGCTGCCAGGCAGGAGGAGCTCACACAGATCACCACTCTGCCCTCCTATTTGCCCCAAAGTCGCCATTTGCTTATTATAAACATTTTAAAATGAAATATGTAATTCAGGAAATCAGAACTTGGTCTACTTTCAGCAAGAATTTGCATCTTGAGAGGTTTCTGAATTCCTGAGCTCCTCCCTGAGTTCATTTGCAGGTTTTGCCAGTCACTCAATGACAGCTCTGCCAGAAGAGTATTTCTCTCACTTCCTAACAGGTGGTCACCACCCAGTTACTTCTATCAGCCATTTTCTGTGTGTTTTAACATGATTAACGAAAGAGCAGTGATTTTTACTTTACAGCATTTGTTATGAATGAGTTAAGCATCACAATTACAGATATATAAAAATATGTTGTATTTTATTGCCCCCAGACTCTGAGCTTATTTCTTTTTTCCCCGAGTGTGGGGTTAGCTGCAGGGATCTTTTTGACAGCTGTGTGCCCTGAACCGCTCTGTCGAGGTGCCAGATCCATCCACCGACTCCAGAGGGAAGCAAAGCCAAGCTGGTGTCTAAATTAGCCCTCGGGCTCAGAGCCTGAACCAGGTGGGATGAACACAGGCCCTGCTCTAAGGCTGCACTGCAATTCCCCTTCCTCTTGAACAGACACAGCAACCCTGCCCTCACTGGGGCGTCCTGGATTGAATGTCGTGAGACACAATGAGGGATGAAGAATCCCAAAATGTTTAAGACACTCATGGACATACGCTCAAGCAAAGGTTGTTACAAAATGTTACATATGCTTAATCGTGTGTAATTTTTTTTAAAAAATGCCAGTCCTATTCTACTTTTCCTTTAGCACTGAAGGTAAGCGCCATCTCAGTTGTTTGAAATAGTAAATCTCAAAAACAATAAAATAAAATAAAATGGGAAGGGAAAAAAAAAAGGAAAGGAAAGGAAAGGAAAGGAAAGGAAAGGAAAGGAAAGGAAAGGAAAGGAAAGGAAAGGAAAGGAAAGGAAAGGAAAGGAAAGGAAAGGAAAGGAAAGGAAAGGAAAGGAAAGGAAAGGAAAGGAAAGGAAAGGAAAGGAAAGGAAAGGAAAGGAAAGGAAAGGAAAGGAAAGGAAAGGAAAGGAAAGGAAAGGAAAGGAAAGGAAAGGAAAGGAAAGGAAAGGAAAGGAAAGGAAAGGAAAGGAAAGGAAAGGAGGAAAAGGGAAAAGAAGAAGGGAAAAGAAAAGAAGGGAGAAGAAGGGAGAAGAAGGGAGAGGAGAGGAGAGATGAGATACTGTAAAGGCCCTGCTGCTTGTGAGAACCCTGCCGGTGGGGGGTGAGGTTTCCAAGGAGGAGCCCGAGCAGCAGCAGCGCCCACAGCGGGATCCCCCCCGGGCCCGGCCGGAGCTCGGCGGGAGCATCGCGCCCCCTGGCGGCCGCACGGGCGAGGCGCCGGCACGGGCTGCCCCGCAGAAGGGGCTCCGGGAGGACGGGGCTCCAGCGCCAGGCTGTCCGTTACGGTGTCCGTTATTATGTCACACCACCGAGGCATATTTTTTGCCATCCAGAGTCCACGGAATGGTAAGACTTGCCTTTCAGAGCACATAATCCTCACGATTTCTTTTACAAACGTGCTTTTTTAAAAATAAAATGCTGGAGGCAGCAGCAACATATTGCAAGTGACAAAGTACATTGTTTCATCTCCTTGCTTGATTGCAGATAAACTGTAAATCAGATTTTATCTCTTCTTACTGAAGTAGAAATGATGGGGATGAACAAACTCCTAAAAATAACAGAATAGCTAAAATCTTTGCTTTTTCCAGAGCAAATGTAGCCCTTTGGGAAAGTGCAAGAAATACCATCTGTGTTTCCTAAGCTCTGAAGTTAATTTATTGCAGACATCTCTCTATTTACTGTAAATGGACATATTTTGTGTTGCAAAACAACATGTTGCAGTGATGAAAAATAACCTAAATACTCCCATCCAATTAACTCCAAAGGGTTTTCCACCTGAAAAAGCTCCATTTAAAAGATCAGTTTGTTTTGCATCAGACACCAAACCTCTCTTGGTGGGGTTTTTTTGAAGTGAGCTTCATACACATATTGACAGCTGTTCACAGGGGAAGCTGAGAGGGGAAACTGTGAAGGAGTTGTGACTTTTATGACAGATTATATTTTTCTGATTATCACACGAGAAGTGTGTTTTACAAATAGCTGCTGTCTCGGTGAGAGGTTTCTTCAGAACGGAAAACTCTCCAGGCTTTGCTGACAATCTGTTCTTTCCATGGTACCTGCTAAGCACTGCCAGTCCTTGCCGTGCATGTAAAACCTAAGGTAGAATTTAGAAAATACGCTTCTTCATCGAAGTGTTTCACAGTTACTTAAAAAGAATTCAGAACATAATTCTGAGATGATGGAGATGAATATTTGCTCTAATCCAGTGTCTCCTCTGAGAAGGCAGGGGAACACGGTGCTTGGCTTCAGCTGACAGCAGTAGAGCATCTTTGTTTTAAATGATGGCTGGAATTGAGCCATGAAATACAGATGGAAACGTGGAGCTGAATTCCCTCAAAGTTCAGGGTGCAGTTTGGGTCCATTACAAAGATAAGTTTAGAAATAGATTTCAAACTACAGTTTTTTGAGGTGTGGGGACTCCCCAGCCAAACATTACCCTGTGAAATGTTAAAAAGGGAGGCAGCACAAGGGAGGATGTGGCACCGTGATGCTGTGGGTTTATATTTGACTGCAAAGATTTAATACGTCTGTTTTTTCTTGTAACGCTCGGCCTTTGAATGATTGAGAGCTCATCCAAACATCAGCTGCTCCCGTGGCAGCGAAAATCCTCTTGAAGAGCTGTTATCTCATTTTTTTCTCCCAAATCCAGACAAGTGGGCTATGAGAATGCAGAAGATGTGGAGTTATTTGGCTGAGCAGTGATGCAAACGCAGAGGCGAGCCCCGGCAGGCGGCGCGGGGGCCGGGGGGACGACAGAGCCGGGCACTGTCACTGCTGAGTTCAGTGCAGAAAAATGTCTCTGGAATGCAGATGTGATTCCTCATCCCGGGCTCATCATCCGGGAGCCCCCATCAGCACCACTGAGACAAAACCAGCCCAAACACACATTCACTGGAATGTTGCCCCGCGAGAGCCTGTGTTTCCCAGGTAAAATGAAGGTCAGGGCTGGTGGTTTAAGACCCCTCTGACATCCGAGCGAGGCCTTTCCCTTCCCACAGCTGATCTTCATTACGCTTTATGGCCATGGTAATTCTTTACCTCCCCAAGGCAGCAGTTTTGAGAAGAGAGAGGGAAAGCAAGTCCAGGACGATTGTTTCGGAGAGAGGCACGCTGCCGAACGTCTCAACCATGGCTCCAGTTCACAGCTGTGGCTCTGCCCCACGGGTGGCCCTTGCACACAACAGCACTAACACTGAGCTCTTCCTTCAGGAACGCTCCGTGTCCAGTGGTGAAATCACCATGTCTGGAGGCAGAAAAAGTCAGGTCGTGTATTTACCCATTGAAACACTGGCTTCTGAACAATAAAATTGTGGTTTGGGTAGGTTTTTAGATGCATTCTGGTTTCTGGTGAACACAGAGTAACCAGGCGCAGTGGCCAAGTCTCGGGGTGACCCTCCCCACCTCCCTCCCGCCTGACCGCCTGACAAAACCACTCCCTCACTTTCTGGAATGCAACTTTGTCAGAAGAGGGTGGATTTCCACATGGATCAACTTTGCCCCAGTCAGAATTGCCAACCTGCTAAGCCAAAAGCACTCTGAGGCTTTGTGTCAGGGAATGGGGCGGGTGAAACTGGGGCTTGCACTGCTTTTCCCTCCATGCAAAAGACAGAGGCAAACGTTCCAGCCGAGAACATGTTCTTGAGAGCATCTGGGACCATGTGAAGGTGGCAGAAAACGTTGGATGCTGACTTTTTTTTTCCTGTGGCTGGTATGAGGCATTTTGTTACAGGCAATTACAAATGCAATAAGATGTATCATATTAGTTTGCAATATAGACTTCATTCCTTGATTGCTTTCCCTTCTCTGGCTCGGTTACGCCGGGAGCTCTTCAGGTTCATTGAGGCTTTTCATGGAGTCTCCAAGGTGGAGGGCTATCGCGTAGGAGTAACTCCTCTTGAAACTCTGGCACCATCAATCCGCTCCCAAACAAAAAAATATTCTTACAGACCAGGGGGGCGATTCCCAAAATGATTTAGTCACCTTTCAGGCACTCGGAATGCCATCCCGTCAGCAAAGACAAGCCACGGGCACGGTTTCTTTCCTAAAGGTGGCCACAGTCAGCGCACGGGGAAGTGGAAGCAGCTGGCAGCTTTTGCAAGTTTGGTGTTGGATTTGATGCCAGGCAGAAACACAACAGGCAGAATTGCCAATGGTGTTTTGTGGCATCGCTGTTTTCTTGTAGAACACATTTTCAAAAGCTTAAATGTGTTTTTAAATATGTCTATGTGCATTTCAAATGGATCTTCCAGTGCGCAGGAGAACTTTCCAGGTACACGCTGTATTTTGCCATAAAGATACCAAGGAAATGGGATGACAAAGGATACTCATAACATTTTCCCAGGAAGAAGGAAATGCCGTAACTCCTCATACATAAGCCTTGCCTAAAAGTAATGGAAAACTTCCACAGAGCAGGAGAGGAACGAAGCTGCACCAGCTCTTGCTATTTCAGTGACACAGTGAACTTGCTTGAGGAGCAGTTTATGAGCCAAGCTTTCCACTTAGTTAATGCTATGGAAGGGTCCAATGTGATTTTTCCCTTATTATTTTAATTAGACCTTCAGTATTACCTTAGAACATACAACTTGTGAAGAACACCCTGTGAAGGAAAAAAGCCTTTTTTGCGGGTATCTGAGATGGAAAGGTGGGAGAGCTGGGGGCCCTGCAGCCTGCCTGGGGGTGGGAGAGGAGCCAGTGTGGTGGCCCAGCCTCCAGCGGTGAACGCTGCAGAAGGAGCTCTCCTTCACTCTGTCGCCCTCTCATAAATCAGCCTAATTACTCTAATGAGGAGAGCTGCGTCCCTCTGCCGCGAGCCCCGCTGGTTTGCAGCGAGAGGGAAGCACATAAAAAGGAACAATGCTGGCTGCTGCTGCGGGAGGGACGCGGGCAGGGAGAACAATAGTCCTGACTCTGTCAGGAGATGGCTTGGTGCACGCCCCTGGAGCTGTTCCAGATCAGAACTGAAATCAGACGCTGGGCTCGTCAGCTCCGCTGAAGGAAAAAGCAAGTAAGACAGAGGGCAGAGGAAAGCTGTTTTCAAGGCTCTAAGAGAATGTTGCCGAGGAGAGAAAAGGACGGGAGATGAGGCTTCGCAGCGTCGGCCTGAGAAACTCTCACGCTACAAATACCCACCTGAGCCCCAACAGCAGGGATCCACTCTCAGCTTTATGCCTTTTTTTTTAGAGTAAGAAGGTAGATTTTAGTTTTTGAATGAAAACTCATACAAACTCGTCTCTTAAAAGATGTGTCTCAGTTCCTTCTCTTGCTCTGTATTAGTTTAAGTCTTCTTGCAATCGTAAGAACTAGAAATTTGTTTCTCTGTGATGAAATCTTAGATCCTTATTTACTACACGAATCTGGGAGCTGAAGCTTTAAGCAAACCACAGACAACCATGAGATTTATTACAGAAATACAAGAGCAAAATTATGTGCAGTCCTACTCATTGTTTTCTATATTTTTGTCATGTTCCCTCTTTACTGTCCCCTCGCTGTGATGACTGAAACTAATCATTCAGGTCTAGATCCCGTATTACGACACCCCCAAAGCCTCCTTGCTATTGTTTGCGTCAAATTAAAAACGTTTGTTAAGAATAGTTGCGGAACGGCATCAAAATTAATCTTCATTTTACTAAGGATTTAATTATTTTATTTGTATTGTGATAAATTATTCTTGATGTCAGATACTGTATTTATATATTTTTAATAAAACAAATTTAAAAATGAGACAATTTTGACAGTTCTTGGGACATTCTCCTCTCAGGAAAATTTCTCTTGATCTCTCTGGATGTTCTCAGCAGTTTATCCTCTCTTTTTCAGTGGCACTTTTACTAAAACATCTTCCTCCTGCCCTTTATACAGCATACTTACATCTATCTTTAGCTCCAGTTTGATAAATCATTCCATTTCTAAATCCCATCTTCAGTCTCCAGCTGGACTTCAGGCCCTTCAGACTCCAAAGAAAGCTCTGTAAATGTCAGAAAACCCTTCTCTTGGCTCATTTTGCCATTTCCCTTTCCTGTATTCATTTCCATGGGCTGAATATATTGTGACGTTAGGAGATCTCCATGACCTTTTCTCAGCCCCAAACTGCCCCTGCTTTGCCATTGCTTGTTCCTCTAACATTCCCAATTTTGGGAAGCAGCATGCTAAGCTGATGTTTGCTCTGGCAGAAGAGGGGCCACGTACCACTGCTGGATGCGTTCTCTCCCAGGAGCCATCAGCCTTCCCTTTCCCTGCTGTCCCACGGGGCTTCCAGCTCCGGAGCTCAGCCTCCAAACCAGCCCTTGCTCCAAACACCTGCAGATCAGGTTGAGGCTGGACTGGAAGGAGCTGCCCTGACACGTCGGTAACACACAGCGACTGCAGAAAGCTGGGTGAAGTTGCTAGAGGTAGGAAGAGAGGAATTTAAATATTCATGTAAAGAAAGCAGAATGTCTGCTACAGCATCTACAACTGCTGCCTTTTCTTAAAGGACTTCCAAGTCTTACAAGGCTGCCTTTTCTTAAAGCCATGGTAATTGCATCTTCTTTGATTGGAGTATAACACAGGGTGAAATTTTCAATAGGACTTTGCCCGTGACCAGTTCCCAGCATTCAAACAGACATGCATCAGGCCGAGCACAAAGCACGGGACTGCTGTGTTAAGTCATGAAAAAGATATAGAATTATTTATATCTGCCTTTTATTTCTCAGCCTTTCATGTTTACTTTTGTGTTTTCAACCTTTTATTTATAAGGATCATAAATAAAACTTCAAAGTTGGGGGGGGGGGAAGAAGGGGGGAGAACAAAGAAAATACCTTGATTTCAAGAGCCAGGCCTTTGAGAATCCTGAATCCTAAAATCCAGAGCAATAACAAGCCAAGCACAAACCCCACCAATTTTCAGTAAGCCTTGTGGTATAAAAGCCTCTCGAGCACTCGTTTATTATCTTAAAACTCATTCCAGAGTTTTAAAATTCATTTTGTTCCCCTCTTTGCTACCACACAGACACAGCACTAGAATCAGAAATGACAGATGTGGAAACTCAACACTTTGAAACCCAGTTGCACTGCACAACTACTGACTTCGGTTGAGTTTTGGGGCCTTGCTCGTGACCATGAGCTGATTTTAACTACAAATGAAATCCCAACTTCCCAATGGAACAGAATCCCAACGCAGCGACGGTAGCACCAAGTAGCTCGAGCAGCACATGCACACACACACACGCAGTAACTTCTATTTACACCTCCTGCAGAGCAGAAGCAGAGAAGAGATGCCCAAGTCCTTCTGCCTGCCTCAGTGTGATGTACTTGCATACATTTGAATACGTTGTACAGCATGTATTGCCTTCAGTTACTAAACCCCCTGCTCTCTACCAGCACCCACAGGACGGTCTCTTGTCCCCTGGTCCTTGCAAAACCAACTGGCTTGTTCCTGTGTGGTGGGAATGATGGATTTGAGAAATGCAGGCTGTTCTGTGCTCTGCGAGTCCAGGCTCTGAACACGTACCACATTTAACATTGCTCCTGGATGAGACTATCCAGGAAATGTAGTGTTAGCCAAAACAAATGACTTTTGATATCTCTCTGATATAATTGGCCGTGCTTTCCCATCAAACAACCAAATGCAGAAGTTACTTAAACCAAAAATGTTCATGCAAAGAAATATGGGAAGATTTAATCTAAGTCCCCAGAAATCACGTTACACCTCGCTGCGTTTGGTCGCTGCTGACTTCACCAACACCCAAAACTAAAACATGCAGGCACAATCTAAGGTAAAAGGGTCATCTTAACATCCAAGAACCAAGCTTCCCTCTAGGTACATCAGTGTAATAATACTACATGGTGCAATAATACCTGGCATACTAAGCCAGTGAAAAGGACTTTTAACTAACAATTACAAACAAATTTCATACTTATATAAGCCCCAATAAGTGCACTGCTTTATTAACCTCATCTAAAATAAAAAAATGTATGTTAAACTGAACAGGCCAAACCCCCATGTTTTGGGCAGGCAGTACTTGCCACCAAGAAACTGCACACAGGAGTGCAGCTACTAGAAGAATAATTAGTCCACAAAAGACAAGTGAACACAGCATTTTGTTATTTCTCCTTCCCCTTAAATGGCTGCTGGCTTTTAGAATTTACATGATGAAAATTTTTTTTCTGAAGGAAAAAAAATAGAGCTCCCATAGGGCAGCCTTAGCTGCCTTCCATGTGGCATTGGCTTTTCTTGGAGCAAATTATTCCATTTATTATTATTCACACCTCTAAGGAGAAAGAAAATTCTTTCCCTACACGGTGCAATAATGATGTAGGAGGGAGTGAATAAAAAAAAGAAAAAAGAAACAAGTCCTCTCACTTGCTACTTTTGCAAGCAACCCTGTTCAATTCAGAGCAAGGCCAGCAATCTTACGCTTTTGTGATTTTCCTCCTCTTTGATGGAGGCCAGTACCAGACACTGCTCTGCTCCAGGTTCTTTCACTACATTATCAGAAGTCTGCCCTTTCTTTGTCACAGCTGAAATGATGCATTCTAATAACAGAAAATAGAACTTATCTTGTCTGGAAGAGCCAGTTGTCACCAAGACACTGCTATCAGTAAATAAAAATAGAAACCTTTATGCAAACCAGCAGGATTTTAGCCAGTGTGAAAATAATTGAGCTACTGTCCTCTTTCAAAAACTACTTTTGCATTCAGTCACCCCAGACAGCAGGAAAACCAATTGTTCCTTAAAATGCTGTAGAAGTCTGTGCAGACACTGTTAGTACCCAGAGATCTCACAGCATGCAGGCCTTTAATTGCTTCTCCTTTCTCCCCGCAGATGAAGGCATCTGGAACATTTATCTCTAGCACCTTACTGGGGAATATATTAGTTTGTAAAATAGAGCAGGATTACAAAGAAAATTGCTGAATACGTACGATGGCATGACATAGCTTTTTACAAGTAGCCTTATTGTGAGCATGTTCCACTCTACCTTAGCACGTGTTTACTGTTTTGCAATATAGGTCGTATTCAGAGCTTTGAAGAACTACATAGCTGACCTATGAGGCTTCCTCAATGAGATCACTAATCTGTAAGCTCTAGCATTATACTCCTTTTTCCTCTTTTTAATATCAAAACATAGTCTTTTCTCAAACACAGTGCAATCATTTCTGGAACAAACTCATGCCTTAATACTAATTAAGTTACAGCATTCCATTTAGACCTTCTTTATTTGCAGAAGGCTGTAAACAAAGTCTGCGTTTGCTGGGACAAAGATATTCCCACTGACAAACATAATAAACTTCTATTCTTTCATCTCCACAGCATATCAGGAACATCACATTCCATCTATCCATTACTTCAGCCTAGAAGTCTTTTTAGGATGTGGTTTTCATAGGATGAAACTCCTCTCAGATCAGGTGTCTGTTGTTGTCTCTACTATATCGTATCCTTACCCCACCCAACCATAACTTTTGTGGCACTATCAATCTGAATGAAATCTGTTTATCTTTTCAAACAATTTTTCCAAGGGTGCCAAAACATGTCTGGACAACATGAAGATATTGAAGTATCTCTGACCCATCACATGGCAGAAGAGCAGCATGTTCCAGGTTAGCAGCTTGGGATAACTAAAAACGTGGTAAGCAAGGGGCTGGGAAATAGGGACAACAAAAGCTGTTGCACAGGGAGAGGAGGATAGGGCTACAAATGAGGGTTTAAGTAGTAGCAAGACTGGAGGGGCTACTGAAAGCAGCAAGGACACAAACTAAAGCAAGTTGTTAATGACCAGGCTATTTAAACTATCCTCTCTAATGGCAGACAGTACTGAAATATTACACAGGTTTCTACCAAGAGCGTTCTAAACTTATTAAAATGTTCAGTATATTTATACTTTATATAGGTGTATATTTATTGTGATACATGAAATAAAAGAATACTGCTGTCACGTGTCACCTGTCCTAGATCAAGGTCGTTTTTAATCGGAATTCATACAGCCAGCTTCTTTTCCCTACAGAAGAGTCCTATCTCTCTGTATCTCTCCAGTTCCTGACCTGCCATGGTACTTCAATTCCTTTAACCCAAAATGAGGTCTGGTGGAATATGGTTGCACACAGCCTGTTGCTGTTACATGTGGTCAGAATGCTGTTGTGTGGTTTATATACCATTCCACATGGACTAGAATTCAGGCACTCCACTGCGTTTAAACACCAAGGAGCCTCAATATCTAGAAAACCCTTAAAGGCTGTTGGTACAAATACCTGGTGGTCTTACACAGGTCAGCATAAGGCAGTAAGAAGCCTGATGAAAGAGACAAAACACCACAATCTGTGAAGACAAGCTATCTGAACAAGGTTAGGCTTGTAAGAGATAATTAATTAGCAACTATCATTAAAATTTCTTTCTGTTCCTGTGACCTGCCTCCTATGGTCAGCTCCCAAATACGTGTGAGTAGGAGCTTGGAGAGGGCAGGTCTGGAAAGTAAGAATAGCTGCTCCAGAGCTGGGATACTTCACAATGAAGGGTGTATCCACGGAGAAATAAGTAATACTTTTAAACATTGTCATGATGCTGCATGCCATTGTAAAGTGAGTAATAGCAGAAAACATGCATCTACTCAGTTCTTTCTTTCCCTTCCCCCAACATGCAGGTTGAAAATGCATAATCCAGTTGGTTTATGTCAAAAGCCAAACAGGATGTGAATCCCTTGGAAGCAGCCCAAATCAGAGAATTCAGTTGAGGCTAAAAAAGCAAAGCCACCATTCCCAGACCTGTCCCTGATTTGGGGCAGATTACTATTGAGTGTCACTGTCTATCAAGGGGGATAAAGATATTAACATCCTCTGTAAGGTACTTTGTGATCTGTTGATTGGAAGCACTTGTTTATATGTCCCATATAAATATAAGTATGTATATACTCAGCATTTTTAAAGACTTTTAAAATAAACAGCATGGCATAACCCCAAATCTTGTTTCACTTAAATTGCTGCTGTACAGGTAGTTTCTTTCTGACATTCCCAAAGAAAACCCACACATTCCCATGCACAACACGAGCGCGTATGGCAGAGTGCCACAGGAGGCCTCAATGGAAAACTTCATTAAAAAACAAACAAACAAAAAACCGAAAGTACATTCCAAATTGAACAAGCAATGCTTGTTGCAAATCATTTAAACTGCTAAAAGGAGCCACAAAACTTGTAACTCAACTGAAGGATTAGACAGCATTTGACCAAGAACTTGGTGTACTACACAGTGACTACAAACCACTTACTGGCTTGCGGGCTTCAGTGGAACTTGAGCATCCGTATGTTCTCCTTTGGCCACAGATTTTTGAACTTGAACAACTTGAATCTAAAACAAGAACACTTCAGGCTTTGGAGAAAAGCCCCTAAAGGAATAGGATTTTAAACAAATACCCTTC